TTTTTTGACTTGTGTTTAATCTCGCTATTAGAATTGAAAACAATTATTTGTTAGTGCTAGTACAGTGAGGATGAAGAGTGCATTCTTGTGAAACTCATGGATTAATACATGTAGATTAGTGTCTAATTTCCTTTCTTTCATCTGTTTTGTTTTTAGCTTATGGACCTGAAGATGAATTCAAAGAGGAAAAGCCCAATGAAGAAGAACATCTGCAAGATGATGGTCTTTCCCTTGATGGACAAGATGCAGACTTTCTCTTCAATGATGAAGAGGATGCCAGAGATCCTTACAGTTGCCAAAACTCTCCACTCAGCAATGGCACTAATCCAGATGCTGGGTATGCGTCTCCTCTCAGCACCACCAGTGACCACCTGGTGGACCTTAAGWCCACTACCACCTCCTCCTTCAATGRTCAGGAAATTATAGAGGAAAAGCATCAGGAAGGTAAAGAGTCYATCAATGGCCTCTCCCTACAGGACAGTTTGACAAAAATGAAAGCCGTCTATGCAAACTTGATCTCAGATGCCTCCTGGTCTAGCATTGCCCTGGACATGCTTAAAGGTAAACAAGGGAGCCCTTTACCACCTAGCAAAGGCAGTGGTAGCAATCACAAAGGGAGCAATGGATTCCTGGACAGCCACAGTTCAAGTAACTCCCATGTAAAGAACAGATGTAGCAGTTATGACACTCCAGCCACCACTATTATTACCACCAGCAGCACTACTGCAAAAACTGTATCAAGCAACAGCAACAGTGGCATCAGCTCTGGCAGCACTGGAGGACTGGCCTAYGACTGGCACCAGGCAGCTTTGGCTAAAACTCTGCAGCATACTCCATACCAACTTCTTCCTGAGCCCAGCCTTTTCAGCACCGTGCAGCTTTACAGACAAAATAATAAACTCTACGGCCCAGTGTTTACTGGGGCCAGCAAGTTTCGTTGTAAGGACTGTAGTGCTGCCTATGACACCCTGGTTGGTCTAACTGTTCATATGAATGAAACAGGCCACTATCGTGATGACAACAAGGATACTGAAGATGATCGAAGCAAGCGGTGGTCCAAGCCACGCAAGCGTTCCCTGCTGGAAATGGAAGGCAAAGAAGATGCTCAGAAAGTTCTCAAATGCATGTATTGTGGCCATTCGTTTGAATCCTTGCAAGATCTTAGTGTCCATATGATCAAAACAAAACACTATCAAAAAGTGCCTCTCAAAGAACCAATGCCAGCCCTCGCCTCAAAGCTGGTRCCTCCAGCCAAAAAACGAGTGTTTCAGGACTTGATGTCTCCAAGCTCACCAGAGTCTGCCTCATCAGGCATGTTCCTGGGAGATTCTCCTAAAGACCAAAAAGTGGCTAATCCCTATGTCACTCCAAACAATAGATATGGTTATCAGAATGGTGCCAGTTATACCTGGCAGTTCGAGGCACGAAAGGCACAGATTCTCAAATGCATGGAATGTGGTAGTTCCCATGACACTTTGCAACAACTGACAGCCCACATGATGGTCACAGGACACTTTCTTAAAGTTACAAATTCAGCCTCAAAAAAGGGTAAACAGTTAGTTTTAGATCCTGTGATTGAGGAGAAAATTCAATCAATTCCTTTGCCTCCTACTTCTGCACGACTCCCTGTACCCAATGGTAAATCACAACTTGAGTCCCCAATGCAGCCGTCCAGTCCTGAAGAAAAATATGAGGAAGCAAAAGATACTGAGATAGAGGCAGAAAAAATTGAATTAAGAGAACCAGAGAAAAAAATCAAGGAGGAAAAAGAAGACCCTTCTGAAAAAGCTGAAAAACCTGTAAAGACCAGAACTTACCAGTATCTTACAGAAGAAGACTTAGAAGAGACACCTAAAGGTGGCTTAGACATCCTAAAGTCTTTGGAGAATACAGTTTCAAGTGCAATCAGCAAAGCACAAACAGGAGCACCAACCTGGGGAGGATATCCCAGCATTCATGCTGCCTATCAGCTTCATGGCTCATTGAAGTCKACCTTACCCTCATGTGCACCAATACAGTCTATGTTCAGCAGCACAAGTTTGAGGGTAATGCCGTCTGATATAGCCTCTCTGGTTCATTCACCTAATAGTCCCTCTTCACCRCTGAGCCACAAGAGCAATGTGTTGGCCATGGAAGAACTGGTGGAAAAAGTGACAGGAAGTAATACTGTATGTAATGAAAAAGAGGAAAAAACTCCTGAGAACAAGTGTAGAATGACAAAGTCTCCMATGCCAAATCCCAAGGAAAAACATGCTTCACCCAGTCCAGAAGGTTTCTCAAAATTAGCAAAAAGCACTGCAGTCGAAGTTCAGGTTGATCCAAAAAGTAAAGGAGACCAAATAGAAACTGCAATTGACATAAAGATAAAAAGTGAGTATGAATCAACACAACAGCATGTTGCCAATGGCTGCAATAACCTAAGCATCATCACTGATCACTCACCTGAGCAACCGCTTGTCAGCCCTCTTAGTGCTCTGCAGTCTGTCATGAACAACCACTTGGGAAAAGCTTCAAAAGTGGCCACAGCCTCTATGGACCCCTTTGCAATGCTCTATAAAATGAGTAACRCTACACAAAGTAAACAAGCAGAGACTGTGAGTCAGTATCATGATGACAATGATCAGCCCATTGACTTGACAAAATCTAAAAACAACAATGGCGGTTCGGCAAAGGCAGTTTCTACAACACCAAATACCAACAGTGGCAAAACAACATTCAAAACCTTCTCTCAGTCATCAGCCTCACCTCTTCGAGAGAATGCTTTGATGGATATTTCAGACATGGTGAAGAATCTGACTGGTCGTTTRACACCAAAGTCTACAACACCATCTTCCATCTCTGAGAAATCAGATACAGATGGTTATACMTTTGAGGACAGCATGGAGGAACTATCACCCATTCAAAGAAGAAAAGGGCGCCAATCAAATTGGAATCCCCAGCACCTMCTTATTCTCCAGGCACAATTTGTCTCCAGTCTTCGAGAGACTTCCGAGGGAAAGTTTGTAATCAGTGATTTGGGACCCCAAGAACGAGTCCACATCTGTAAATTCACTGGTCTTTCCATGACTACTATCTCACATTGGCTGGCCAATGTTAAGTACCAATTAAAGAGGACAGGGGGCACAAAGTTCCTCAAAAATATTGACTCTGGACAACCTCTGTTTTTGTGCAGTGACTGTGCTTCCCAGTTCAGGACTCCCTCATCYTACATTAACCATTTGGAGTCCCACCTTGGGTTTACTCTGAAGGACCTCTCAAAGCTTTCCATAGACCTACTAGAACAGCAGGCGATCAGCAAAACAGAGGACAAAATATTTACTTCACCTGGACTTACAGAGGATGACACTGGCTCAATAYATCAGTGCAAGCTGTGCAATCGGACATTTGTGAGCAAACACGCGATCAAATTGCACCTTTGTAAAACACATGGAAAGTCACCAGAAGACCATCTCTTCTTTGTGAAAGAACTTGAAAAGTTTGATAAACAGTGAAAACGGTGATAGCATGACAGATTAATGTTGCACTAAAACTCTAAGGCCGAATCCCAGTTCATCCAATCCCTCTAGCCCTTTGCCTGTTGTGCAAGTTCACGTGGTGAAGCAATGGTGTTCCAACCCCATTTGGTGATGTGGGAAGAGGGTAGGACTAYGTTGCCCTTCACATTGGGGTTTCAGAAGGGAACGCTTCAAAGGAAGGGAAGCTGCAATGGCAAAGACACGTCCAAATTTAAACATTTTCTCCATCGTAATATCTAGTTTGATGTTTTTTGGTGTATTAATTTGGTATCAATGTCAGTTTTTAACATGCATTTTAAAATATGTATTTCWAAGTATTTTTCAAGCCAAATAACTAGTTACATGACATGTATGAGCATATTTACATTGTGGTTGTTGATGTAAAAGCAGTATGCAACAATTTAGGGCATATTGGCCTTTTGGGAGGAGGGTAGTATTGTGTAGTGGAACTTTTAAATACTACYCCATGTACCCTAAATTCAGAAGAATAAGGGGTAGAGGTAAAACTAGCTMATGGGATTCGGCCTAAGATTCAACCTGTCAACACAGATAGTGCCACAACTGTAAGAACAACATGTGAAAATACAAGGAGCTTTAACACCTTTTACTCATATTATTCAGTTTGTCATGAAGGACAAGAGTTTGCACTACGGGGACTCTAAGCCTCATTGTGAAARATGAATTTTTACTAATATACAGTTCTACAAGACTGGTGCGACCCGATACAGTCATCTGCTGATTGTTGCTTCTTCAATGCACTGCATTTTATCTGAGCCTTTAGGAATAGTCCACATGATCTTTTAAAACTGGTCCATACTCTTATTTTGATAACTGTTTCCAAATAATCTTTTAGGGTAAATATCTTTCGATTTAACTTGCCTATTATTTATGAAGCTGTTTGTGCATGTTTTCATGTAAAACAGTGATTTTGTTATGTCTGATTAAAAAAATCAATCATGATAACTAAACTGATGTCCCTGAAACAGCTATTCATAAAATGGTAGATGAAGAAACWTAGTGATATATTTTCAGCACTTTTAGTGAGTATAAAATGAASAAATAATTGAGTAAAACAAGTCCATTTTAGTTTAAATTCCCTTTATCACAATTGAGGGACTAATACTATTTTTTGCCTTTAAATTACAAAAATATAACAAACAATAAAGTCCTTTTTTTCTCCAGTAAAATATAAATCCCCCCACCCCCCACCCAACATGTACAGTCTTGTGTTTGGTCACCAGTTTTATAAAGAAACTACACTTGTAAAGTTAATGAAATTTAAATCTTATTGTATAAATACTTAACAAGTACATGTATGTCAGCATATCTTGCTCATTACAGTTCAGTATTATTTGTACTGTGTGTATTTTTACAATGCTTTTTTTTCTAGACCAATTTGAGGAGAATGTACAAAGTTCCAAAATACTGATGGACCAAAATGTCCTTTTTTTTAGCAAAAAAATAAAAAAAGTAGGTCCCTCAATGTGTTTTACATGAAATGAAGTTACTAGCATCTGATGTGATGCTTATGATTGTATATAAGCTTGAAAATATTTGTTCTCCAATGACCAATTTCCAGGTTTTGTCATTAACACAGTTATTCTGGATCGCATCCTTTTATCCTCAGTTGTAAAATAAACTTTATGTCCTGGAATACATTAGTGTTGTGTGTTTTGTACAGGGTTTCTTTTTTCTTTARGCTTTTATTTTTGTTTGAWTATCCAGATTTAATTGACATAAAACCAATTCTAGCATCTTACACYGTTTATGTCTGAGACATTCCAATGAAAAAAGTCTTTTCAATTTTGTGCTACAGCTTTATTTTTTTTTAAATACGTATATACCTGAAATGGATGTTAGGGACACCTTTGTGATGAAAGTAATTGTTTAAAAGAAATTGCTGTTAGAGAGCTTTACCACTGGCAGAAATGCTGTCTCAACAGTCTTTGAGTTTTGTTTTTACAATTCTGAAATGAACTCCTGAGCAGTTTATGGTAACATTAAGTCTTTTAACTAGATACCGCAAAGCGGTAACATAATGACCCCCAAATTGTAGTGGTTTGGTTGGGGGTCTTTTT